AGTTATTCCCCCCTTTTTGGGAACACACTGATCAGGACTTACCCAACTGCTGTCTGAGATGGGATATATGATCCCCGCATCTAACCACTTGATTACTTCTTTCCTAACCACTTCTTTCATGATTGGATTCAATCTTCTTTGGTGTTCTACTAAAAAGCTGTTAGGGTCAGTCAATAATATTTTATGCATACAGAAAGAAGGACTGATACCTTTAAGGTCAGTATGGTCCATCCAATAGCTCCTTGATATTTCTTCAGCTTGCTGATCAGTAGTTCTTCTTGTTCCTTGGTGAGCTGTGAGGAGATGATGACAGGCAGGGTGTCATTGTTTCCCAGATATGCATACTTCAAGTGTTGGGGAAGATGCTTTAGTTCCAAGTCAGGAGGTAGTTCTGAAGATGGTTTTTTTTACTTGCTTTTCCTTTTCAGTTCTCTGCAGGGGTTCTGGTTTCCTTTCTTGCAGGTAACAACTTTGTTCTTCTTTTTGCAAACTTTCTTCCATTTCTTCGACTTCTGGGTTTATGTTGATCTGGTTATCTGCTAGAGTGATTGCAGAGCATTCTTCCAGATCTTCATCCTCATCATGAAATTTCATTGCCTTAATGACATTATATTTAACTTCATCATCATGTACTCTCATGGTAAGTTACCCTTTTGCACATTGATGACTGCTCCTCCAGTTGCTAGGAACGGTCGTCCCAGGATGATGGGAACGTCAATATCAGCTTCATAGTCCAAAATGATGAAGTCAGCAAGAAAGATGAATTTATCTACTTTGACTAGTAGATCTTCCACCTTACCCTCTGGTTTGACAATGGATCTATCTGCCATTTGTAATGTTATCGTGGTTGGTTTTGCTGGTCCTGTGGCTAATTGTTTAAAAACTGATGAAGGCATGAGATTGATGCTTGCCCCTAAATCACACAAAGCTTTACCTTGGTAAGTGTTCCCTATTACACAAGGAATGGTAAAGCTTCATGGATCCTGTAGCTTAGGTGGGAGTTTGCCCAAGTATTGGCAGCTTTCTTGTGTCATCTTCACAATTTCATATTTTGTTATTCCTCTCTTTTTGGAGAGAACATCCTTCAAGAATTTGACATACTTGGGCATCTGTTCCAGTGCATCCACCAGAGGTATGTTGATGTGGAGTTGTTTTAGAATATCCAAAATTTTTCCAAACATTTTATCATCTTATTGCTTCCTTGTTCTTTGGGGGAACATAATTTTGACTGGTATTTGCTTGTTTTGTAGTGGACTTCTCGTTCTACTTTTGTCCACTGGGGTTTCTTCAGCTTCAACTTCTTCATCAAGCTCTAGGTTTTGCTCGACAGCTGCCTGTTGTGGTGGTTGTTGTGATGCCTTTGTGAATGCTTCAGGTGGTTTGTCACATTCCTCCCTGGTGTCTAGGGTTGAGGTCTTGGGAGCTGTTGCAGTTTGTGTAGTGGTTCTCCCACTTCTTAGTGTGACTGCCTTGATCTGTTATGGTTGAGATTTGGAGGGGACGTTAGTATCCCTTGGCAAATGTCCTGGTGTCGAGGCTAGCAGCTATCTGTCTCAGGTGGGATTCAATATTTCTGACCACAACATCGTTCCTGGTGACATATTCTTTGACATAGCTTTCAAGGGTATTGATGCGTTGGTCTTCTCTAAGGAACGGAGCATAATTGGTTTTTCTTTGTGGTTCATATGCTCCATCTCCACTGCTTCTGTCTTGTTGATACTGCTGCTGCTGGTTGTTGTATGGTTTCTGGTTCATGGGTGGTCTCCATTGTGGACAATGGTTATGATCCTTCACTATGGTTCCTCCAGAGTTTTGATTGTTGTTGCTTCTTGCATTCTGATTGTCTCTGGCCTGGGTGAAGTTTCTGTTCCCAAACTTTTCTACATAACACACCAAGGCAGTAGATGGATAATCTGTTGAATCATGAAGGTCACCACAGGCTAAGCATGGTTCACTCTCAACTGCTGCGAGTTGTAAGACTTCCACTCCTGGTTGTTTTTGATCAGCTTTCAGACTCTTCACCTCATTCATGAATGAGGCTAGCTGGGTTTCCATGGTAGTTTGTTTGTCTAATTCTAGCATGCATGGCTTCCTTACTGGGCTCATCCGTTCCAGTGGCCATTGGAGACATTTTTCTGCAGTGCCTTCTATGATTTCATACCTGGATTCAAGGGTTCCTGTAAAGAAATATTCTCCTGCAGAAAAGTCTAAATGTGATTGAGAAGTATGATCTATGCCTTTATAGAAAGATTGTAAAACTCCCCAACTCTCACCCCATGGTTTGGACATTTTCTGATGATGTTCTTGTATCTCTCCCAAGCTTCATAAAGATTTTCTCCAAAAAATATTCTAAAGTTAGAGAGTTCTGCCCTAACATCGCTTGACGAGACATAGGGAGAAACCTTTCTATGAGCTTGTTAGAGAGTTCCTCCTAGGAGTGTATGGATCCAGGGGTGAGAGTTTTAATTCATGTTTTTGCTTTTGAGCCTAGGGAATGAGGGAACAACCTCACTCTCATACTTTCTTCTATCACACCCTCAGCTTTGAAGTTATCACAGATGTCTTGAGAGTTTGTGAGGTGTGTGTAAGGATCTTCTACAGGGAGTCCATGAAAGACTCCAGCTTCCCTTATCATGTGGAACATGATGGGTTTTAATTCAAAATTGGGAGCTACAAGAGGGAGGATTACTCCCCTTTCTGGTATATTCCTGAAAAGAGCAGCCAAAGCTCTAAAGTTCTGTTCAGGAGGGATTCCTTCATTGTTATTGTTATGATCAACCATGTTTTCAAAAATATTTTCCCTGAGATTTCTTCTTCTTCTACGTAAAGTGCGTTCTGGCTCAGGATCAAAGAAGAACTCAGGTATTTCAATGGAGTGGTGAGAATCTGTTTCAGACTCTTCACTCATAAACCATAAAACAGATAATATGTATCAGCAGAATATGTGACAAAGATAATAAAATGAAATATACAGAGTATGTATGTACTTAAAACGGTAATAAGGACAAAATTTAGTGTATCTATCCCCGGCAACAGCGCCAAAAACTTGTAGGGTCAAAAGCTTGTTGGGTGTAAAGATATTATGTTGTAGAACGTTCCTCAGTCCATTAAGAGAAAACACATTTGCTCTCTTAATTTCAACCCAAGTGCGCAAGTGCACGCATCAAGTAATAAATGGGAGTATTAATGCCCAGATTATCGTTCCCACGACGATGAAACTCTAATTAATGCCTTATACTATTTAAACCCTACACTAACTCGACACCTTATTGCTAGCAAGAGATAAATAGTGGTTCTACCTTGCATTAATCCAAAAGGCATTTACTGATTACTCCAACAGACAATGGTAGGATACTAGGTTCCCATTTATTACAGCGAGTACTACGTTTGAAATGGATTCTGTCATTCTGCTAATGCCAATGAATCTTCGACTCGAATACATTCTTGGGTTTTTGTATAACAGGTGCAACAACAGCCGATTTACTCTTAGCAAGATAATCATGAAGGTCGGGAATTGATTTAATAGGAGTTGCCAACAGTAAGGTTCAGTGTTGTGTGTTATTTTTCTTTAAGGGTAATTTTGATATTTTTAAAAAAAATTAACATCGTTAAGTTTAACTTGGATAGAAAATCAAGTTATGGGGTAAATGATAAAAAAAGTTTTAAGTAAGGGTGTAAATGATTAAAATTTTTGGGAAGGGAGTAAGTGATTCTGAAGAAACTTATAGGGAGATTTTTTTGAAGTTTTTCCTTATAATTATTGTATTTTATTTAATATTTAAATTAAAAACACGTCAGCCGCACTAAAAAAAACACGTCTCACACTCTTTATTATGTAACCATTTTTTTTTTATGATAAAATACAATAATTTTGATTAAAATAACATAACTTTTAAAAAATAAATATTTTTTCATACAACAAACATATAAAGAAATAAGAATAACATCTTATTACAAAAAAATAAAAAAATAAAAATAACATCTTATTTCATCAATTCCAAAATTGTCAAGACTAGAAGTGTAAATAGGTTAGGTTAAGTTAGGCTTTGAGTTAAATAAGCTAGGCTTGTATAAAAAATCTTAGGACTGGCATGTGTAAGAAACCTTAGGACTGGCCTAGCTTTTTAGCTTGTGTAGGCCCAGATTAAAATTATGGCCTGACTTATATTTAAAAAAATAAAAACTTAGCCAAGTTTGTTAGTTTGTTTAAGCATATTAAACATTCAATAACTAAAAAAACAACTAAAATAATATTATTTTTTATTCAAAATTATTAAAATAATAATTTTATTTTATTTATTTAATGTAAATAATATTATATAAGTCGGCTTGTAGGCTATATGTACAAAAAAATATATGGTATGTTTTCTAAATAAGTTTTGTTAAAAGTCTAGACCTACTTTATTTGACTATTTATAATAAGACAAGTCTAATCTAATATAGGCTAGACCGTAAACCTCTTCAAGTCGACCTAGCCTATTTACACTCTAAATGAGTTATTTGACTTTTTTTAATTCCCTCGATAATTTGTGATAGTTTAAAGGAAAAAGTGTGTTTCATTTTAAAGGATGTAAAATTATGTCATTTTAAGAGAGAGAAAGAGATAGATAAAGGAGGAGAGAGTTGACAACAAAAATAAAGGTGCGGTTTCCACCTCTTTGTGAGAGTGAAAGAATATAGGTTGTGTTATTTAAAATGATAAACATTTTTCCCTTGTTTAAAATGACATTTTAAATGAAATAAGTTATGTCATTTTAAGAGAGAGATAGACACAGAAAAATGGAAATCACAAGTGGGTGGTTTTTTTAATTTAAAATTTAAATTTTCCTCTCTTAAAATGACATAACTTTCTATCATTTAAAATCACAAATAGTTTTCTCCTTATTTCTAGTCTTAAAATAATTTTATCTCACCCTTTGACAATATCTCGAAATTTCCAGTTCACGCTTTACAAAGAGGACAACTTACGAAAGAGGATTTTGTTTGTCAAATGTGAAGTGTGAGTGTGTGACAACAAACCCTGAATCCGTAGGTTTAGGTTACGATTGGGGATTCCATTTCTGTGATTATGATTTTGTGAAAATTTTCATGTGAGTATCATTCTGTCTGTTCATTTTTTTTTTTCTTCTCATCAGAGTCTAAATGTCTGAGACAAAGATGGATGATGCAATGGAAAGTAGTGAAAGACCTATTTTCAGAGATATTAGACGCTATTCCTGTCAATACTGTGGCATGTCCAGGTCTAAGAAGACCCTTATTACCTCTCATATCAATTCTCACCACAAGGTAATTTTTTTTTATTTCTTTGTTTCATTTTGTTTCTAATTGCTTCTGAAGCTTAGGGGTAAAAAAAAATTATATTAGGGAAGGACTTTGAATCTTGTTCAAGTAAGGTTATGTTGTTTGATGAATATCTGGATTTTCTGTTGAAGTTCAATTGCTGTGTTTTATGATGAGATGTGACGTGACATGATGTGTTAGGAGTCCTACATTAATTGTGTAGGCAACTAGTATGGGATTATAAGGCATTGGGGACTCCTACCCTTCGAGCTAACTTTTGGGGTGGTGATCCCATGGATCCCTATCATTTGTTGCTCTTGTTGAGAGTCGGACCACGGAAATGGCTACTTGATATGTGGGTGAAGCCGCCCAAAGGAGGAAAGGGTTACTACCGGGTCAGAATGAAAGCCGCCGTGGACGTCGGCCTTAAAGGGGGTGACAATGTTAGGAGTCCCACATTGATTGTGTAAGAAACTAGTGTGGGATTTATAAGACCTTGGGCACTCCCACCTTTTGAGCTAGCTTTTGGGGTGGTGATCCCATGGGTCCCTATCATGATGCTACTCCAATCCTTTGTTTCCTATAATTTAATAAAGGTTTGGTGTCATATTTGTTTAACAATTCAATTCATTTTTGGGTGATATCTAATGATTTGTGAATCCTATCTCCTTTGATATGACTTGTGAATCTTTTCATTTCAAATGAACTCTTCTCAATTTTAAAGTATTCCAATCATAACGTGAAGGAACGTCAAAATTTTTATTCATGCAAGGAGAATCATTTGTAAGCATGAATGTATATGTAGTTGTAGTAGACAAGCATATCGTAGAGAACTGTGAATTGGAGAAACTGGGCTATTTGAATATAATGGTAATGGTTCAATCATTACTCTTTTCTTGGTCTTTGGGATGATATTAACCAAAAAAAATGAGGGAGTCTGGGAGCTCTTGTTTTAAGAGCATGATCGATAAACCCCTGACTTTTTGTGTATTTTTGGCCTTTCTCTCTAAATTGAGTATGATTCAAACGGCTATGTTGTTGATTTATGATGTCTCTTAGGAGGAGGCGGAAAAAGCAGGACTCCAAAGAGATCAGGAATCGGAGGGTATAAAATTGAATACATGTAAGGAATGTGGTGCTAGATTCAAAAAACCTGCCTACCTATTGCAGCACATGCAAAGCCATTCACTTGAGGTATTTTCTGACAATATAACATGAAAATCTCAACGTTTTTTTTTTTTTTTCTCATTTTAAGTTCTTTGGATAGCCATAATATTGGGGCTTCTGAATTTGTTTGATTTAAAATTCATTTCGATAGTGTTCCCCAAGATTTGTTTGTACGGATGGAGAATTTGTTTGGAGATCAGAATTAGGCATCTCCAACTCCAAGTTGTGCCTTGTTATATGCAACAAAAATCTGTGAAAATCATCTGCCTATGTATTTATGTTTGATCCAGTCTCTTATACTGTTGACGATATTAGTTTGCTCAACAAAATTGTTATCTGTCTAACACATGATGATATTAATTGTTGCATCAACTGAAGATACATATTTTTGCAGGAAAGTAATTTTTATGATACTAAAATCATAAAATTATGGACGTTAAAGTGTGAAGCATTGGATCTCAGATAGAGAGCTCCAAAATGCGTGAGGCAGAATGATTTGACTTGATGGATCAGTATCAGGTAGGGAGACCTCTTGAGAAGCTCCATCAAGGATGCCTCAGTCACGCTCTGTTCAAAATGAGGTTGGCAGCTTGTTCACTCATGTCTTGTTGTGAGAGCACATTGATGCTTGTTAATTTATGGTTTTCTAGTTTTTAACACTTTTCTATTGGTTCCAGAGGCCGTATATTTGTACTGTTGATGATTGTCAGGCAAGTTACAGAAGAAAGGACCACTTGACTCGTCATCTTCTACAGCATAAAGGGAAAACTTTTACATGTCCAATTGAGAATTGCAGCTGTGATTTTGCTTTCAAGGGAAATATGACAAGACATGTCAAGGAGTTTCATAACAAGAATTCTGCCTCTACAGGTGTTAAAAATCAGAAGCAATATGTGTGCCCAGAAATTGGCTGTGGCAAGGTTTTCAAATTTGCTTCAAAGCTACAGAAGCATGAAGATTCTCATGGCAAGTTCTTTTAGGAAATTTTATATTAATGAGCTAGTTTTACATTTGATATTCATAATTCGGTCCTTTATTTAGAGTTCTGAAAAGATGTTGAACACAGTTTTGAAGAATGCCTATGTTTTGCAGTTAAGCTGGAGTCAATAGAGGTAGTGTGCTTATATCCTGGTTGCATGAAGCATTTCACTAATGTCCAGTGCCTTAGAGTCCATACTAAATCCTGCCATCAATATGTGACCTGTGAAACTTGTGGGAAAAAGCAACTGAAGAAGAACATTAAAAGGCATCTCTGTAAGCATGAAACTGGTAGTTCATCAGAGGTGTTTCATTGTGAAAATAAGGGTTGTAGCAGCACATTCTCAAATGTAAGACATCCCTGGCTTTAAAATTGCTTGATGTACATTTTAACTGAAGAGTGGAAACTTTTTAACAATGGGTCAGATTAAACTTCAGTATTTTATTCCCCATTTAGTTGCAATTTGAACTTGCTTATAATTTACCTCTCTTATGGTTATGCATCAACAGAAATCCAATCTTCGTAAGCATGTGAAGGCTGTGCACTTGCAAAACAAACCTTTTATGTGTGGCTTCCCCGATTGTGGCATGAGATTTGCTTATAAGCATGTGAGAGATAACCATGAAAAATCTGGTTCACATGTTTTTACCCTTGTAAGTTCTTTTGCCTTTGTATTCTCTAATGCCTTGTAAAGAATTTTTATAATATCTTAAGCATTTGCGTGCTATACTCAATTGTTGAAATTATAGGGATTTGGATATAAAAAGGAGGAAAAGAAAGACAAAAGACTATCAGTAATATTCTATTATGTATATTGGTCTGATTATGTGATATGATATAAATGACAAAGCACAAATCTCTATTTATACCAGTACTAGATTCTTAATTCGAACCAAATAAGTAAACAAATCAAGAAATATAATGAACTACGGAAACCACTCTTAAGAGGTCATCTTAACATAATTTAAGTTGTTCTAAGATACAATAATGATATTGTAAGATATTTTCTAGATATTCTAACACCTATTAAACTTGTCCGGTGTAGGGGGATTTTGAAGAATCTGATGAACAATTCAGGTCAAGGGCAATGGGAGGGAGGAAGAGGAAGTTTCCTACGGTTGAAATGTTAGTTAGGAAGAGAGTTGCTCCACCAAGTCAACTGGAGTTGATCATGAAGGGTAGTGAAGAGATGTATTGAGCTTTTCATGGACTTCTCACATTACAGATAGAGTGAATGGTTGCCCTTGTTTCCACTGTGTGCTCAGTAGTGTGTGTGTGTGTGTAGGATTAGGACAATAATCTATAGCGTTGGATATTAAACCTCGTTTATTGTGTATAAAATTATATGTTCATAATAGATTCAACAGTAACACTGCACATTTTTTGTCATCTTGTTGGGAAGGGAGTAGTGATGTTCTATTTTTATCACTTTTATGTTTGATTCTCTCCCGCATGCTCCCTTCTTTACCCCCTTTGTCAAGGCCAAATAGAATCTATATTGTTATGAACTTTTCATTGAGATTGGATATGCTGCTCATTAGATTACTTATTATATAAAAAAAAAAAATTGTGCCCAAGTTGCTGCAATGCTTGCAGTAACAAAAATGTGCTTGGATCGTAATTTATTTTTGATAGCTTAATATCCATGATTCATAAATATGAATCTCACTTGTATGTCTGAGTAATGTTACTTATAAAAAGTGTAAATTGTACAAACTGAACAAGCCTTTCTAAATGTAGATATTACTATTTGTCCATTGAATATGGTTTAATCATTGATTCAAGAAGTTTGAAGTCATCCAAAATTATGGCCGAATAAATTGTTGAGGAATTCAAGTATGAATGATGAGTGAAAAAAGTTTCACATTGGTTAAGAATGGATTAAGTGAGCGTCATATAAATGGAATGATTCATGCACCTAATGCCTTAAGATTTTGGGTTTGATTGTGGTGTTCCGAACCCACTTAATGTTGCTGCTCACTTGGCCCATGGTTGGCGGTCTCTCCCCGCCATGAGCTCTCCGTGCACGGCCCAACAATTGGTATCAGAGCTAATGGTGGATTGACCTGTGGTGATCCGAGTATGTCTTGACGTGGGAAGCCAAGGTCTTGATGGATAGCCAAACCTTGATGAGGAACCCATGAATACTCGAAGAAAGAATGTGGGCCTTGGATTCACACTTGAGGGAAGAAAGAATGTGGGCCTTTGATTCACACTTGAGGGGGAGATGTTGAGGAATCCAAGTGTGAATGATGAGTGGAAAAAATCTCACATTGGTTAAGAATGGACTAAGTGAGCACCATATAAGTGGAATGATCCATGCACCTAATGCCTTAAGATTTTGAGTTTGATTGTGGTGTTCCGAGCTCACTTAATGTTGCTGTTCACTTGGCCCATGGTTAGCGGTCTCTTCCCGCCATGAGCTCCCCGTGCACAACCCAACATAAATATGGTTTATGTGTCCCAAGAAGTATTAGTTTGAAATATAATAAATTATGATAAAATTCAAGTTTAAATGAAACACGTATGATTATGATTTGTTTGGTAGAAACAAAAAAATTTAACAAATTTTTCGTGATATAAGATCAAAGACTTGTGATATATTTCGAATAATTTAATTATAATTATTTATTAATTTTTAAGAGGTAATTTATGTTTTTTTTTCTTTTCAAATTTTAGATTTTGAATTAGTTTGTAAATAGTTTATACAAGAGTGTTTACGGAATAGTGATCAAAATGTCACTTTTCCCCGACTTTTTTCCCCTAAATGTCACGCCAACAGTGTTAATTTTCAATATGCCACGTGGACAAGTTCGCTATTCAGAGTAACGAACATGGTGTCCACCAGGAACGTGACACATCAGCAAATTGAGTTCGCTACAGTGCTCAACGAACTTGTCCACGTGACATATTGAAAATTAACAGTGTTGGCGTGACATTTAGGAAAAAAAGTTAAGGAATAGTGACATTTTGGTCACTATTTTAGTGTTTACGACACTTTTTGTAGGAGTTAAATTTTGTTATTTGATAATTATAATTGGAAATTGAAGAATTACTCTTTTAGATATATTTTTTCATGAGGTTTCGGCATTACTATTTGGTTTTCTTTATTTATTAAAATCAGCATGCATCTGAATGACGGCTTTTAAGGTGGAATTGACGTGTGTACTGTAATTGTATTAGTGGGCTTTACGAACCTACAAAAGAAAATTATGAACCTACAAAAGAAAATTAGTTTCCACTTCTATATTGTATTAGTAAACAATCGTTGTATTACTTAACTGTATCTTTTCTTGGGCTTAGGCTCTCCATAATTACAAAATAAAAAAAAAAGTAAGGACCTGGTTTGGTTTCATCATTTTTCATTTTCCTGTTCAAAGAAAATAAAAAAATGATAAATAAAATAAAAATGTTTGATTGGGTATTTATTTTCAATATTAGAAAATGAACTCCATGATTCCGAATATTTTAGAAACAACAAAAAGTCATTTTCTAGTGTTTTTGAATTACTTGTCATGCGGTGTCATATTTTAAATTTTCATGACTTTAGTTTCTTCTCCTCCCCCTCCTATTTTACTCTATTATGCCAGAGCTCCTTTTAACATTTTCTTTTACTATCTTAGTCTTCACGGGTTTGTGGCCAGATTGGGGCTTTATATGGTAGGGTTCTCAGTGTGTTATAATGGTGGTGTCATTTTGGGTGGTGGATGGTAGTTTAAGGTCATGGTCTTGTTTTGGGGGAGCCAAAAATTTTGTGAGAGGACTGAAGTAAACAAAATTATCATTAATTTAGGTATGGTGGTTTAATACCTACATTCTGATTTTTGAATCCCCCATAGAGTATTGTTTTGAATCACTTACATTCTGATTTTTTTTTTAATAACTTAACCTTCAGTGATTTTTTTCATCCATACCCCTTCTTAACATTATTAAAAACGTAACTAAGTATGCCTAAAATAAAGTGATAAAAAAACAGATGATAGGCTTATGCAATCATGCATATATGGTGTTTGAGCAGTTACTGAGAGTTATGATATGAATCGGTTCCTACCAGACCTACCTCATGCACATTCATTTCTATGTTCTTTTCTTCAATTGCTGGCTAGGGGTGTAAATGGGTCAGGTTAGGTCGAGCTTTGACCTTCTTGACTTAAGTCTACGTAAAAAAATATTCAGTCTATCTGATCTATTGGCTTATTAAAGGCTTTGTTTATAGGTTAGACATGGACTATTTTTAAAAAATTAGAAAGCCTTATATGGCCTATAGGCCTTGTAGGCCCATTGCAGATATTGAGCATATAAAATAATTATATAGAGCAAAGAAAGTTCTATTCATGCATGCACTAATACTTCTCGTAAGAAATAAAAAATGACAAACAAAAAAGAGTTAACATAATACCCCAACTCTAGAATGTATATCAATGTATATCAGAGAAGAATTAAAGTCAAAGAAACAGAAAAAATAAGAAAGAAATACAATTACTGGGTCAACCAAAGACAAAACTTAGAGACGAGAGTGAGAAGTCACCTTGAAGCGGTAGTGCACAAAAGAATTTAGAGTCGGTACTTTGCAACTTAGAATAAATATTTAATTTTTTATATAAAAAATTAAATAGACCAGCCTACAAGACTTTAGGTCAGGCTTGACAAAGTTGGTCTATAGCCTATTTGTTAAAAAAGCTTTTTTATGAACCTAAGTCTGTTCTACTTTTTCAGAAAGGCCAGGCTATGCCAGACTCAATATAGGTTGGGCTGTAGACCAGACCAAGCTAGCCTGACCCATTTACACCCATGTTTATGACCATAATTCAAATGCTGTTCAAAGATTCATATACAATATCAAAATCTTTTTGATGAAACTCCTAATGGAAAGTCGTGGCATAAAAAAGAAAATTAATAAAATGAAAAAATAATATTATAAAAAAAGAAGCAATAAAGTTGTATTACATTGCTACGATGTATTAAAATCGTGCCCACTATTAATTTTACACTAATTCAAAACATAATTCCCAACTTTCCCCAAAGTAAGTTCAACGGCACCTGTGAAGCAAAAAAGCTGGAGAAAGTCAAAAGATAGACGTTGACTGCGGTTGGGTTTCCTTAATTAACAAAGTAAGAAAGAAAAATGAAAAACGTTGGCGCGTGGCATAGTTAAGATCCACTGCACCGGGCAGGGTGATAAAGGAAAGGGATAGTAGTAACTACCAAACCAACTTGCATTGTATATTGCATATGTAATTATGAATATTCTCCTTCTCACGTCTCTCCCCTCATAACATAATCCCTGTACTCAAAGTGGTACATAGATGTCTCCCGTGAAGGTGAAGTATGTTAATATAGGGATGTCCATAGTAACCATGATAGAGATTAAGGCACTAGTGGAGCTTCCCATGTATGTGCTCAAGGGAGGAGTGTGTGTATGGCTAGGGTTGTTCTCCTGGTGGCAGCGCATGAAGCTGAATGGAGAAGAAGAGATCCCCTCCTCAATGTGAGAGGGGGGTATTTAGAGCAAGAGCTCTAGTCAACCTAACCAGTCTAGCCTTTTCAGGCTAGGCATGCTGAACCCTTGCCTTTGTGCAGGGGCAGCTGGTGTGCATGGGAAAGAGGGGGCATCCTATGATGCCTTCTAGAAGAGGGCTCCTTAGACTGGGCCTAACGGTTGGGCCCATGTGAGTGAGATATCCAGAACAATCCCCTTGCAATTGCAAAACATTATCATGATATGGGACGGATTACAATGTCATTTATTACTTGGGGTATAAAAAATAATTTAACTATCAACTAATTCAAACTGTTTTAAAAAGAATTATATTTTTTTAATATAATTAGTCCGATAACTGTTGAATCATTTTATTTGAATTGGTTTAAGAACTAAAATATTTTTTAAAATTGATTCGATTTAAGAATTGTTCGGAGGTGAACATTAACTATAGTATAGGGTAAGTATTTATGTCAGGGTATATGGAATGGTGAATGTTGTAGGTTAAGTATCTATGATTTAGAACAATATATCTAAGATAAGTTATGAGACTCCTTCGTTAGCTATAAGCGGTCATATATAGATGAAGTGCATTAGAAAGTTGTGCATATTATTAATAGTTTATCAGGTGATTTAATGGAGTCATGGATAATTATCTGTAGTATATAAAGTTTGAGAGAGAATAGTAGAGTGAGATGCTTAATACATGTCATGTAATATGAATCATTTACTTGATCCATAACAAGAATCAATTTAATTTATTTTGAGTTAAAAATTGAATCGAATCATAACTATCTTTAGGAATATAAAAACATTGGATATATCGAACTGAATCACAAATTAAATGAAATCGCATTATATTTTTTCAAACTAATTTAAAAATCGAATTATTTTTAAAATTGATTTGGTTCTAAATCGAATATATTTTTTTAATTTGATATAAAAAATTGAACAGAATCGTACACCCGTTATCTTGTACTAAATGAAATTGAGAAAAG